GGCAAGTCTTTCGAACGATATTCTCGATACAAATACGTGCCTACCTTGACCTTTTAGTTTATCATTTCAGAACAGAAGCAAAACGTTTGAGGAACGAGTTGCCGCCGGTGGGAAATATTGTCGGCGGTAATACGATTCTCACGGTTTCTGCCGCCCGCCGTCATTTTCCCTCTTGTTTTCGCGAAACTTTTCTCGAGGGACGTAAATTGATTTGTCGGCGTAAGAACTCTATGTCCGACAGCGCCTTTACTACGAGATAAACGTCAACGTTGCCGCGTAGGAACCATGTCGTTTATACTTCGTGACTTCCTCCACGTGATCGCGCGGTTGGCGCGCCCTTCCTTCCTCCCGTTTCCGTTCCTTGTGGAACTCGCGTTTGTACTTCTCCATTGCTGGAAAAATCTCTGGACGTGTTACTGCTGGTAATAAAATTCTCCCGGACATACGAAAGAGCGTATTACTCGACCTTTACCCTTATGTACGGTCATTCGACTTTTCGATCCTACTTCGACTCGTCTGAATTTTCTCATAAAAATAATCGCCAAGTAGATATACAGTATATTTCGTTTATAAAATTTTTCTTCGTCATTGTCATCGTTAGTAAAAATACGTAATTCCGACAAACGTTGTTACAAGAACGTCTCTTTTCATTAAATATTTAAACTAGCGGAGAAAGATATATAATTTGAAACTTACTCGTTGAATTGAAGTATTAATAATTAAGAAAATATAGAGCGTGTTTAAATATATTTATTTCTAATAATATATTACATTTGCTATAGTTAAACAAGAATTTATTTTAAATTATTATCGCACTGAAACATAAATTCAATCCTTTTTCCAGTTACCAAATTAGTTTTAAAGAATCACACAATGACACGATATATTATATACAAGGTTAGAAAAAATAACGCGTTATTTATAACACCGTTATCGTTTTTTATACCAGTAACGATCGTTTCTTTTCTCTGTAACGATAACGGTAACGTCGTTATATTTTTACAGTAATGGTAAGTTCAGCTGTTACTTTTATCGTTATTTTGATCCCTTCTTATTTTTATAACTATATATAATCAATAAATTGTATTATTTTTAATTGGCTAAAAATATCTCATGATAAAAATTTAAATATCGAAAAATGTTTTCTATTTTACACACACATACGCACACACATATATTTTAGGGTCTCTTTCATCAACCTCGGTTAAGCTAACTGACGACGGTTATATGGGATGTTCAGTGTACTTATATAACCATCAGTTAGTTTAATCAATGAGAGGCTTTTTTCTGATAATCATTGCCACTATTGGAAATCCATAAAATATATTTATATATCTCTATGTAATATAAACTATAAATTTTCTTAAATAAATATTGGAATACATTCTTAATTACGACATTAATGTTTATAAATGATGTTTCATAAAAATTTTTAATAAAATCTGTGTTTATAAATTATAATCTAATGTTCCAAAGTATATATTAAAATGTAAAAAAATATACATAAAAATATTATTATAAAGCAAATTATTGAAGATTTATTAGATATAAGTTTAATGAAAAATTCACTAAATTTTTACAATTAATTATTAAATAATGTATTTTTAAAAAATTATAAATAATTAATTTTTCAATAGTATCTTATTACGTTAACTTGCAAAAAATTAAAGAAAAAAGTAACAAATTCTTACCTTTTAACTTTTAAGTAACTGTAATGATAACACGTTATTTTTATAAAGTAACGTTCCAGTAACCCAGATTACAATGAAACGTGAAACGTTATTACATAAAACTGGCAATATAATTTTCTAGACGAGTTTTCATTTACATCGTCTCAGATTTCACATTCTTAAATTTATAGCATCTTTAACACTTTCACTATCTTTGAGGGTGTTTGGTAGATCTTCGAAAGAGACATTGCTTACTTACTTCCTCACGGTTGCGAAGTTTTATCGCACCCACGAAAGGTATTTCCTGAAAAGTTTTCGGATACCGCGGATTTCTCCCGCATCAGGGTACCACAGCACGATGCCTTTCTATCGGTAACGGCGTTTATCTTTCTCACCGTTTCTCTACAACGTACATTCTTCTTTCATCCGATCCAATATAATTCTACGATCGCTCGTGTTAGGTATTTCAGGATAAGCCTCTTGATAATTTATCGACAAATAGACGATTGCTGCAACAATGAATCAGCGCACGTACACATATCAGGTGTCCCATTTTCTACGTAACTATTTTCGATTACTAGTTGGATAAAGAGAAAAGTTTTTTTTAACTGAAAATCACTCTACGAGAGGAACATTTTTCATGACACGCGTAATTTTGCTTTAGGTAACTTTGTTGTAGTTATTTTTTAAATTTAAAATATTTATTTTTTAATAATTATTTTAGGATTTTAAATAAAATTAGGTCGGAAAACTAAAATTGGACGTATATATAAATTGAACATACCTATTATAACCATGAAAAAACAATTATAATAAATTTAAATCTTTCTAACAAATAAGTTCTATCAAACTTCTTAATATATATGTAGGAAAATTTAATTTTTCTACTCAGTCTGTAAACAAATTATTCTAGTGGAGTTTTAGTCCATTTCTGGACTATTTGTTATTAATAATATAATGTAAAAACCATACAATTATTACAATCTATATGCAATTATTCAGTAAATCTATCTCAGGAAAATCTTATTCGTTATTTTAAAAATCAGTTTCGAAACTTTTAGTTCTGTTGCGAAACTGGGAAGTTGTCATAGTGAACATATCTGCAGTGTATTTTCCATAAACTCGAATAGCAAAGAAGTGTTCCAATTTTCCGCTTCGTGAACATCCAAAGACTCGCTTCTCCGCCGCATAATTCTTAAACTCGTTGCACCGACCTACTATGGACCAGTTACGATGAGATACGCGATATATATATATATATATATATATATATATAAATTATATATATATATGTATATATGCCGTTATAAATGGAATAAGCACGTATATTTGCTCGCTCGTTTAAGTGCGCATATATATTTCTTTATATACGATCCAAGTGCCAGCCGGATCGTTCCATATAAAATTGAATTTCCATATTTGCCTTTTAGATAGATGGACAAAATTACTTTTATAAATTTGGAACAGCTCAATTTCTTAAGCTGTAATTGAATTAAATTATTGTATCATAATTACGTAACAGATTGATTCTAACCATTTAAAACTATGAAAAAAAGAATATTTGCAATTCACTTAAAAATAAAAAGCAGACTTTTCTTTATATTTACACATCGATATTGTTCCAATATCGAATTCACTAGTTTTACTTTATTCGCTGCAAGCTCCATTTTTACTCTTTTCATCTTTCCTTTTTTTATTCGAAGATTTTTGCATTTGAAAATCGACGAGAAAAAAGAATAATTCCATTTGGCTATGTCATTTTTACGTAAGAGCTTGACACAATATGGAGTCTTTTCGACAATTTTATAATAGCATCTTGTCAGCATGTTATACAAAAATTTAAAGAAAATTATTCGTAGAAAAATTTTTATACCTCTTACAATTAGATATACAACTCGTAAAAGTTCCAAATCCGTTAATTTGTTCTCCACTGGCGCATAAGTTTGAACAGAGTACAACAAACGAGCGTTTTAATATAATAAAAAACGAACGAGCGTTGGGGTCTTTTAAAGTCGCAGATCACAAAAGTCCGCAAAAAGAAAACAACTCCGTAATCATGCGCGATCTGCGGCTGCCATTTGTAACGACGTAACTGCTCCGGCACGATTCACTGCTCTAAAAACGAAATGACTCGTAAAGTCGATGTCCCGCCGCTCCGCCTTACGGTAATGATACGAATTATTATACCTTGACTAAACGCTGTCAAATAGCTCGGAAGAATCGCGAAGTTCGTCAAGTCCATCTTTCGCCACTTCATTCTTAGTAGACATATCTTAAAATATATCTTCTTTTCTCGAGTTTAACGTAATTTATCTTCATTTGCGATATTTTCAAACTTTTATAATTTTATTCCAGTAATAGTTCCGCAATAGTAGATTCGCTCTTAAAAATAAAATTGCATGCACTGTGCAAATCAAATGCAATACGTATCTTTCACCATTTTTCCCGATATTTGAAACGTTTCTTCTTTTCATTTCTAATGCAACCTATTTTTATTTATTAAATTTTTAAACTTTTATATTTCTCTTTAATAATTGACAAGGAAAAATTTATTTTCTAAATAAATTATCGCATAAATTACATAAATATAATAAATGCTTTTCGTCACTGTAAGTGTAACTCATATAACACACACATCTTTTTTTACTTAATTTATTTTTAATCCTTAAATGTCACTCTATTAGGACAACACACTATACATAGATATACGAAATGGCATATCCACTCAATTTGATTGCTTATAATTTTCATAAAAATAATTATATTATGAAAAAATTTTTCTATTGAAATGCCAGATATTAAAGAACATAATGATATCAAGCTAATGAACGTATCTTTAGTAATAAAAAAGTTATAAGCAATGGAAGAAATATTGGAAAAGCATTGGAAAAGAAAGCCAGGTATGCCATATCCAAAAGACGTTTAATATATAATTTATCTTCATTGGAATATTATTTTTTAAATTGATATTTCCAACTCTTCGTAATAGTTCACAGTTAAAACTTCGGCACGCTTATAGAAACAAGTCTGCGCAATCAAATGTGATAAGTGAGAAAGGAAAAGACTTAATATAACATTTCAAATCATATTAAAATTAGTTAACGAGTAGCTATTATTCCCTAGACAATAAAATTATTTGTCGTCATTATGATATCAAAATGGCATCTATGATGGCATTTGGATGTCAAAATGACAAATAACATTAGCCTGGGTCGAATAGAGTGTTTAAATAGATTAATGTAATTTTTATTTAAGAGTAACATCCGTTAATTTTTTAACGCATCATTTCTTACGATTCGTTGTAAAACGAGGTCGCACTCTCTGTTTCAGAAATCTCGCTCAGATGATCAGACAGTGACGCTGCAGGACGCAAACCTTCATGCCAGCGGCATGTACAAGTGCGAAGTTAACGGGGAGGGGCCGAGCTTTAATACAGTCAGCGCCGAGGCAAGAATGGAGGTCATAGGTGAGTGAGCCGGTGTCGCGTTTAATTAATAATGCTTTGAACGCAACCGCGTCGTTGTCTATCCTTTGGTAACTCGACTAAAGACTACGACGTGGTCGAGTTCGACAGTAGTATGCTAAAAGCGAGAGAGAAAGAGAGAACCATCGCATCGTGATGAAGGAAACTATAGGAGTAGATACTTGCAGCTATCTTTCGTGACGTTCCATCATCCTTGACGGTGGAATGAGTCCTCCATTCTAACTGTGAATTCGCTACCGCGTTTACACGTTCATCTAGCTACGATGGACCGATTAGTTCGCGAAATTAACGGCAACTCACCACCAAAGTGCTGGCGATATCAGATTACAGAGCCGTGTAAGTTTGCAAGTGTTACTGAGATTTGGTATTATTCGCAAGACAATCTAGTAGTCGGAGAATGTGTTAATTACCGAATGTCAAGTTCGTCTTATTGAAATAGCTGCATATTAATAAGATTAAACGAATGGTAAATATATAAAGGATCATTGATAACTTTGATAGAGAGAAATGATAGAGTCAATTGAAAATAATCGAAATGTAATCGAGAGTATAATTAAAAACAATTGTATTATAAAAGATCGAATACTGCAATTTAAAATGTTTTAATTCTGATTAATATGTATATTTTAGGGTAAGAAATTTTAAAAATATAAATTTTTAATGGAATATGGTTATATTTTTCCAAATTGCTATGCAATGTAAATTTTACATCCATCTCTAGAAATACAAATTCTACACTTATTACAAAAACATACAATGTTATTATTGAAGTTATTAAAAAAAAAATTATCATTTTAATGAATGAAATAATAGCGTAAAATATCAAATTATAAAATTGTACATGTTATATAATTATACTTTTCCTTTAATTTGAATGTTATATTGGCATAGGTATTTCAGATTTTCCATTACCTTGTAACGGATAAAAAACAGCCATATAATCGCTTCATTGATTAGATGGACAAACAGATAATCGTTTGCTCCACTGACCAGTTCAAGCGGGTAAACGAATAACAGTTTGATTGATTAATCGTTCAGCTCTTTATTTGATTGCGCCATCGAACGCACGTACATACGCGTCCGTGCGGAGTTACAAATTCATCAATAATCTGCACTGAAAACGTCATCTACTCTCTTTTTTGCTTGTCTGTTATTCATTTGTTATTTGATCTCTGTGTATCCTGCGATTTCTGAATGCGAGCGCTTTTACCAGCTACACGATACAGCATCGATATGGTGTAATATTGCAAATATGACAGATTTATCCCGTGACAAAGCAAAAATGTAAAATAGAGTAAACCGGACACGCGCGATTCTGTCATATTACGCTAATTTTCTTTTTCAAGACTGTACTTCTCCAAATTGTGTTAATCGCGACACGTGACTCCCACGTGACATTTCAGATATTGACCGATCAATCCATGGCGGATACGCAATCCATACAGCCGTGCGCGTAGGTGCGTATGCCGTTCTTACGAGGATCAAAGGAAGCGTATCTAATTATCTCAAGCACACGCTAGATGCGGTATCCGTTGCAATAGGATTATCATACGGTCAAAGTGGGCGATACATGGTACATAGTGGCTCTGAGTTGGATATTAACTCACCTCAGCGTAGACGGTACGACAAGGGAAGGTAGACACGATTACGAGGGACTCGTCCTGCTATTGGCAGACGTAATCGTCTTATAATTATTTCGCCACAACACAGTCTACCTTTCGTAAATGAATATAATTCATGAACGGCATGGTGTGTGCTGCGGTAAACGAATTTTGGAGTTATTGCGGAAAGAAAATACTGTCGAGAAATGTAAACAACAATACGTATACATTAAGCACATTTATCCTTCAGTTAATTCTTCAAACGGCTATCCGCTCGCGCGGAAGTTACGTTGCATGAAACAAAAATAATTTCGCGTATGTCGTTAACAATTCAATAAAGAAGATACATTTAAAAACGGACGTGTAATTCGCTGGCTGAAATGTAATTAATAGAATTTAATAATTTTATATTTTGTTTTGTCGGTACCGAAAAATATAAAGCATGCAATAAGAGCCTACGGGTCACAAAAACAATTTTGATTGAAAAAATAATTACTTTTTATGCGATATAAATAACAGTTTTACGGTGCGCTCTCAAAAATTTATACATAGAAATATACATATATAATATATTCATAATATTTAATTGCAATGTATATACTACTAAATGTGTTTAGAATAGCTTACATATTTTGAAAAAAAATTCATCATCTTTATTTACTAATATTGAAACTTTAATACAAATAAGGAAAATAACCTTACATTTGTTTAAAATCGATTATGATGCTTATAATAATATGTAAATTTTTCGAATATAATATAGTAATATATATATAATTAATTATATAATATATAATATAATATATAATATAATATAGTAATATACCATATATGTAATTTTTCAAATATAATATATATAATGAGGGAGAAGTCGCTTATATCGTATCCCCTAATGCTTAGACAAAATTGTATAACAAAAGTATCAAAGAGATCAGAATATATCTGTACTTACATTAAACTTTGGTTCATTGACAATAAAATAAATCAGACACCGAACAAAATCAATTTTGAATGTCACTCGTAAACAGATGACTCAAAGACAAAACAAAAATGATAGTTATTTTTATCCCATATTACTAGCGTCACATCACAGTATTATTACCTTTAAAAAAAAATGTTTCGTTTAGAAAATATATACAATAGAGGTACGATTTAACCATCGGTACGACTTAGTCAATGCCACTCTATTTTTTAATTCTATAAACTGCGCGCTGATTCAATTTGTCGTACTTGAAACGCAATCATAAACTGAACTATAAGAAATAATATTACAAATTCAATTGACTGTCAATTTAATACCGCTGCTAATATAGTAATATAATAATAAGCAACTTAAAAATTACATATTCCAAATTTATGAGAGGTAGTACATATTATTCAAAGCATCAAATAAATGATACAAAATCGCGTGATGAGGTTTTTTAAAGAAAAATTTAATATAGAAGAGTAAAATTAATTATTACTTCGGTTTCAAAAGCACTGAACGAATGGAATCTCACTCTAAAGAATATTTATAATCTTTCTTTTAAAGATTGAAAATCCTGCCACTCTCTCTCTCTCTCTCTTTAAGAAAGCTGAATTTTCATTCTTTAAAACGAGATTCCATTACAAAGAATTTAGAGAGAATAATGTGTTTTTATTTATTTTATGAATATCAAAAGCTGTTGTTTAGTGCTTTTAATACTTGAAATAATAAAATTTTAATACTATATTAACTAGTATTAAATTGGATGTTTGTAAGGGTCGCTAATGCGAGAAGGTTAATCGCACGGGAGTCAGTATCACGTGTGCTTTCCGACATCTCGCTGAGACGCGAAACGTGCCAACTTGCAGAATTCCGAAAGAAAAAGACCACGCCGTTATTTCTCGTCGTGTCGCGTCATTCGGTCGACTTAAGAAAGAGAAAATGGAAGGCAACGAATGTGCGTTTTCACCCGCATTCCCGCGAAAAGCATGGAATTCATCCGGGTGGCGTGCGAAGCGCGGGCGTTAAAGTTTAAGTGTGCATAAAGCCGTCGAAACGCGATAAATATTACGGCATCGTAAGTCTTAAGCCGTAACTAGGCGCCGTCGAGGCCGCTACACCAAAGAAGACGAAAAAAGAGAGAGAGGCTCAGGATGTTGCGCGCGCCAGTGCAAGCAAGACAGTCGTTGAAGAAAGGTGGTAGGATAGATGGGGGAATTTTAAGATCGTTGTGGAAGCCTCGAGGAGGCCTGTCGTCGTGCCAAGTTTCGCGGGCCTGTCGGCTTTTCGTCTCTCACTGCATCTTTGCGACGAAATTTCCTCCCTCGTGCTGCTGGCTCGCGAAAAGATCGATAACCCGTGTCGTTCGCCTTGCGGCCTTTCACTCGCGATTGCAGCGAATCTTTAGCTGTGAACCGTCACGAAAAATTCAGTATAATCGGACACGGAGATACAGAAATAAAATATCCGATTTTCTATCAAACATGTATAAATGTAAGATAAAACCACAGCTGGATTTCGTATTGGAGATAATTTAGCTTTTTTTGCTGAAACATATGCCCGAACATAGCTATTCTTTTTTGTTTGCATAAAAATAGATATCTGATTACGTTTTTGTAGTTGATTAATCAACTACAAAAACGTAATCAGACATATATTTTTAGAAAGGAAAAAAGCAACTTTTTTCTTTTTTTTTTTTTTTATCTCATCTCTTCTCACTAATGTGCAAATTCGATCGCGTTCTCGATGTCGAGCGAGTGCGTTTCAACAGAAGTAAACGAGTGTGAATTATTCGAATTTACTTTGTCGCCATACTCGACAAGACGATAACTTTATTGCCAAACGTTAAAACATGCTAAGAGTTAATTGCGTGGGAACTTGCTTTGTTTGTTCGATTAATATCTGTGTTCGCTACATATTTGTCATGTCAATATTAATTATTTCATTTTTGCAAAAAAAAACATTTTTTTGACAGCATCCAAAACTCTAATTATAAATTTCAATTATATTTTGTGCTTTTCATAATGTTATCATTTGTTGGTCCATTAGAAACTCGATAGAGCTTTATAAAAAAAATTCAAGAGTTTTTATTGTATACATTCTTTAAAAAATATGTTTTCACTCTAACATTTTATTTAAACTGATTAAACGTATAATAAAACGGTAATAAACATACTCATAATTACTAAACTAATTGAATAATAATCCGGTTCATTTGGAATTAATCAGTTGTGAAAATAGAAACAAATAAAATGCATTTGTTAGTTGGAAATGATATTAACGCAGCTTCCGGCGGAAACGTCAGTTGGATAGAATCGCAAGGATGGTTATTGTAAGACCTGGAATGGCTTCGTTGAATATTCCGAACGGAGTGTCGCGGTGGCTTTAGAAGCTTATCTAGAAGATGCACTTTTATCGGGATAGTATCTTTGAGAGTGATTTTGATAAAAATTATCCGGTCATCTTAGATTAACCCACAATGAAGTCGATTTAATTATAATGAAGGAAACGACCATGGAAATCAAGTTTTAATATAGCCAAGAAATTTCATACTATTCCTTTTATATATTATACATACATATACACACATATACTATATATATGTATATGTATGTATATAATAATATCGAAAATATATCACTTTTAAAGATTTGATATTAAATTTAATATGCATTTTATTACTAAAAATGACTAATGTCATCATCACGAGCATAATCAATACATATCTATTTATGGAGATAAAACTTATTTAAATAACACTCATTTAGTCCGAAAAGGAAGATCCATTTTTAATGGAAAATTCTTAATTTAGAGAGAAATTTTACAGAAATTATCTCAACAATGTTATAGAAATTTTGTTATTTTACATATTTTTCGCATATAATTTAGTAAAAAGGATTAAATTCGAAAATACGATCCCGCGCATCAAAATCTTTTTAATTCTAAATTTGTTACTAAAAACGTGTAGGCACGTAAAAGTCATAAAATTATTGTAATTTAAAAAAGCAAAGTTAAAAATTAAAATCAAGCATTAATATTAATTTGTAAATAACAAGAAGCATCTATTTTCTATTCAGAGACGAATACTTAGTGTCTGGCAAAAAATATACGCATCAAACAAACGCGCGTTCGGCCGTCGTCGTAAATTTCGCGAGTGTTTCCCAAGCAAGCGCACCTAATCCCCGATGTATTCTTATGAAGCTCACTTTCCCGGCTTCGACTATTAATCGTGTCTACGCGACGGCGTATTGTACGGCCGCTTCATTATGAAGAACATTAACGCGAGCGGCACGTATACGCCAAAATTTAAAATGCACGAGATCTAAAGCTCGGTTAATAAACGCGTTTAGTGGCAGTAAAACTTCTTGCTAATGGCGCACCCGACTTTATATGCCTTACCATGCAAAGTTCCCAAAGAGAGAAGCTGTTTTTTATGCCACCAAAACAATGTGGGATTTAGTATTAGACGTCCCGGGCGAATAAGGCCGAGATAAGCGTCCGCATTCTGAGAATTGTCTCTTCGTGCCTTTTCTCTCTTTCTCTCTCCAGAAGTTTAAGAAGGTAATTTCCTGAATAGTATTCGTAAATTTTATTTCCACGGGGATTATTTTATGCATGTTCAACTAAGAAACTTGCATATTTCTTTTTTATATATTGTATTATATTTACAACAATATTATACAATATGTACTTCTTTTCTGTCGTCTTAGAAATGAAACAGTAGCTTTAAGTCGAGCTAAAATGGACGACGTCATATGTTGTACAATTAACACACACGTACCGCGTGTACATCTAACAATTTTCTCAAATTGTTTCGCAGCACTACCTCAAGAAAGGCCAACGATAACCGGAGAGGAAAAGGTGTACGCCAGCGGAGACGTGCTCGCGCTGAATTGCACCAGCGGCAAGTCCCATCCTGCCGCAAAACTCAGATGGTTCGTTAATGGCCAGCAGGTGAGCGCAATAGTTTTTCAACGTTTGTATTCCTCGCAGCATCGGGGAAAATGTTGCACAAGATAGAAATGTCGTCTGCGCATTGAACCTTCAATCGTTTTAGTCAAAGATAATGTAGATAAACAAACTATAGAGCTCCAACGGCAAGAAGAAAATAAAACGGTCGATGTTATATTATTATTTTCGATGTGATATCTTTGTTCGAATGGGAGCGTTTACAGCGTGTACCTGCTGTCACACGGATGACCAAGCTTGCACAAAATCTATAGGACATGTATGTATAACGTTGAAGCTTGAAATAGCACGTGGATAACACTGGCGGGCAGAAGCGGTCACGCGTTGGATCGGTACTGGTGAGAGAGGATGGAAAGTGTGTGGGTGGATGTGTGTGTGTGTGTGTGTGTGTGTGTGTGTGTGTGTGTGTGTGTGAAAGAGAGAGAGAGAGCGAATGGCAAGCTGGTTTTACAGTAAGCCGACTCAGAGTTCGACCGTCGCCGTCGCGACGACGTGGCTCGATTTCATCGCGTAAGCAACGGCGACGCTTGATGAGCCAAAGCTCCAATTAACGACCGCGGTGAAACGGATCCTTCGTGCAGCTGTACCATCACTGTGCGCCGATATTCCAGTACTTGGAAGCCTTGTAATGCGCGATCAGTGATGCGCCGTGGTTTTGCCCATCCGTATTATTCTCCTGCCTATTAGTTTGAAACTCCCCGTTTGTAGCCCCCGTGGAGATGGATTGCGAAAATCAGACAAAAGGAGGGTCAAAAGCGCACATCCAGAAAGAGACGAACCGAGAAAAAAGCCATGGCTCCTCTAATTAATCCGCGACGCGCAATAGAGAAGGGTCAATTTGCGTTCACGATGGAGAAAGCTATCGAGAGAATGAAGGGTTTGCGCGAGTCTCGACTTCATTATTATCTCCCCTTACCGCACGATGATTTAAAATAAATCCGGAAATGGATTTTATTCTTGTCCCAGTCGTTCGTTTCACTAGCGTTTTTAAATCTAACACTTGCTTGCCGCACGTCGGTGTCTGTTTTTCACGCAGCAAGAACGGACACGCTATAAATCGACGTAAAGATGCGCGCGCGCGCGTGTGTGTGAGAGAAAGAAAGAAATAATGAGGGAGAGAGAAAGTTCTATTCGGCGGGCGGGATTCTTATTTCTCTCGTTTTACGTTATTATTACAAAGTTTCCTTTCTCTCGCCACGTCACGAATAATTCAATCCTTCTATCGCTCGAGGCCGCCGGAGCTTCTATCGCATGCATATTGATGTATCGTTATCGGCGTTGCCGGGTGAAGAAAACCCGGACGTACTTCTTGGCTCTAAGCGAGAATAGGGAAGAAGTTCGATAAAATCATTGAAGATAAATGGCGAGAATACCTTCGGTTTTTTCTTATCGTACAATACATCGTGTATAATTATTTTTGTTTATTAAATGAGAATAATTAGACGTACTGGAAATATAATATCTAGAAATAATATGAGGATAAGTTAAGCTAAAAGACAAGACAGACAGTATTTTTATAGCCCAACGGCAAAAATAATGTAAACTGTGGATTATTATTTTGTATAGGTATGTTTAACATATTTTTTAATAACTATATATTTTTTACAAACCTTTAAATACTATTTGCAATTCTATCGCAAACCCGCAAAAAAGCATTATGTTAATTAAAACTTTTACTTTTTAGAAATGTCCTAATAAACTATTTAACGTACTTATTCCACTTAATATTTGTCTGGATTTTACTTAATTTTTTCAAAAATTTGATTAAATCAATATCCATAATACATTCTCAAATATTAAATTGGAAGACAATCTTCTCTACATCTTAGATGTAATCGTTTACATAAAAAAAATTAGATGACTATTCCCGAGTTAATCTTATTTTAAATGGAAGGATTGTCACAATTATAATTTGCCTATAGTGTGAAAAAAATGCTGACAGTTTTTGCCATTTGTATTGTTAGATTAACTTAAGTATACAATGATGCAAGTGTCGTTATGACTGACAATGAGTGTTTCTCCCACGAGGATTGTAACCCTGCCGAAAACATTACGATGTCTTGAAATTATTCAATTTGCGAAACTTGAAACGGGCCGTCTTTTTCACCGTTTACACAAGAGATTACCTGTCGACCGCGATGAGCACGAGTGGAACCATGCGAGAAAATGTCAATAAACGACGCTCTTACGTCGAGAATAGGCAAATCACGTCACGTAAAGTGCAAGTGCTTTCCGACGAAGCTTTAAAGACCCCGAAGATTACGCCAATATAACGAGCGACGCTCCTTTAGAGCCTCGCAGTGAATCGCATGCGGCGGCGCTGAAACTTTCTTCCTTATCTTTCGGACTCCGGTCTTCCTTTTCCGCGGGAAACAGACCTCTCGCTTATGCTCCCTGCCCCCTTTCGAACCGTTTTCCTTTCGAGAAAACTTTGCAACGCTCCCAACGACGTCCATTAGAAGTTGCGCGAGTTTAGTATAGCACTTAACAAGTAATATTGTTTCGGAAATGTTCGTGTCGCGAGACTCGAAAAACCTGTTAACGCGAGTCAAGTAATCTCACGAAAGGAAAAAGTTCGATCACTCGCCAACTTGAGGAATATGTCGTGGATGAGCAGCGTGATAGGAGAATCGTATTGTCGTCACAAAGTGATGATAAAGGCAGTTATAAAGAATAAACAGTTGGTTTTTAGGATATTTCTTTCTTGAGTTTTCTTTAACCTACAGGTTCTTTTATCTCGTTTTTACGTTTACGATCGTGAATAAAATTTTGTATTTAATTTCTACTATTTAGCACTTTGTATATTATTATTTTTAATGATTCAAATTCTACATTTTGTTACCGATATTTATATTTAATAATACAAATTTATATTTAACAATACGATTTATAGTTTAAATAAAAAGTTTCTTAGTTTATCTTAATTATTATTTAAAGACGCGTACATTTTTTATTGAAATAAGTTTTGATTCACGTTAAATCGTCGCCAAATGGTTTGTATTGCATTCAAATACAATATAAAAAAATCCATAATTTTTTCATTTCGTTAAAAAATATTATACATCCTGGTTATTCGGTTCTTATTTCAAGAGAATTATTTATTTCGAAAATTTTTATAATGTATATAGAAATAGTTTCATCAAATAAACATTATACAGTTGTTTCGTTAAAAATTTAAAAAGCAAAAACTTTTTATAACCGCAAATATTCTAACTAAATTTTTTCTATTGTCTTAGTCGCGCATAAGAAGATAAGGTCATTCCGGATTATGACTCGGGAAAAAGCGAGACCAGCTGCGTTCCAAAACCCTACTTTCGTGATAATCACGCGCTTTTTAACCCTTTATCATCATGTAAGAGCGGCGAAAATGGCAGCATTCCTCGAGAGTCGTCGGCCAAATGAGTATTTTTATGAATTATGTTACCATAAAAGGAAGTGTCCTATGTTGTAGACTTGCAATGCCGCCGGCAAAACTTGGCCATAACGAATATTATGTCGTAGTAGTGGTTTGTGTCTGCAAGGAACAGCAACAGATCGAGAGTAATTCCGCTGGTCCTAATGAATTTTTTCTGACCCAGCCATTACTAGTCAATGCGTAAAACGAAAAATCGACTTTTTGTGTTTGTTTGCTTGGTCTAAGTCCAGTTCAAAAATATATACACACACGTTTGTTAAAAAAAAAAACTATCATATTAAAGCTATCACGTTACAATCGAAGATCATGACTTCTATTATGATCGGAGAACTCTGTTGCGCGACAGGTTTCGATAAGGAAGGTAACAAGAAACTCTTAGAGTAGGTCTTGTTACCATATTGGAACTTGTTACTATTTCAATGGAGAACAAGTGCAAAAGAAAGAGGCAAAACTGTAAGGTAGGAATCGTTGTGGTTATATTGTTATGTATATGTAAGTACATCGTAAGAAGATCGTAAAAAGAAATTGGAAACGCGGCAGCGATTGAAGCGAATACAATCTACAGAATTAAAATCCAAATAGCTGAAAAATAATTCAATCATCTGAATTTTATTTCCTTATTATCCTGCTTTTGTCTTTTACCGAGCGCGCGCCGAGACGAATTGCCGGACGACAACTGTTCAAAGATAGCGCGTAAGTACGCCGTAGATATGCCAAGGAGACGACGGAATTGCACCGTATTTCTACACAAAGTAGAATATATGTAGCCGTATGTATAGTGTGTAGTTGCGTCAGGATAGAACGCGTCTCGCTACAAAGGGACGTATGCATCCGACAACGAAACCCAGGTGGAAGGCACTGCAGAATTCATAAAACGATAGGGAAAACGCAAAGCGTTAGAATTTATCGATAATATGCCGATATACGACCGCTGAAATATTTCGACGTGTACTCATAGTGTTACCCGCTAGATCTTCGTTGTTCTTGAGATGCCGACGTACATCTTTTGTACATCATCAGCATTCCTCCCCCAAGAGACGCTTATCCATCCTGAGGGAGGGAGGGAGGGAGGGAGGGAAGAAGAGAGGAGGACAGCGCGACTGTCCTCGGCACATTTAAACGACGTCGAAACACCAGCTCGTCGTTTTAGCCCCATTTGCGTAGCCGTGTCACAGCAGTCTCGCGATTTCGTTAATTACGAAATTCTGCGCTTCAAATGAGCGTCGTGTCGTACCGAAACTTTCGACGAAGTTCCGTCCGTCAACTTTCGCACGTTCCGCGTCGCTGCTCGTCTTGTTTAACACGCACAAGCGCGTCCCACACCAAAGTTTTTCGTTTTCGTAAAGAAAATATTCAAAAACTGTAAAACGTCTACATGAAAAGGACAGTTTTACTGAAATACACATCTAAAAATTAGCTAAATACAGGTCTGAAAATTTGTTGGATCATCAAAACAATTATGTAGGTCGTTATCCAAATCGGTTGCTAAAATATCAAAACTTGCAGCATGCTTGAGATTTCAATGCAATTATTTTGATAGTTGAACAAAATTATTGTCAGATCTGCAGTATCCAGTGAAATTTTTAGATATTCTTCAGCAAAGTATACTTTTCATGTACAGTTTGGCGAACGCGAAACATGTATGTATGTGTGTAGATGGAGTGTGCAGGTGTGAGTACACAAAGGTGGTTTATTAATAGAAGGCAGTGGGGTCGAGTCTCGACTTTGGAAGATAAACGGAAAAACACATAGAATACTGTTATATGCGTGTAGTAAAATTGGAAGAACGAAAGAGTTGGATGGAGAAAAGGCGGCACGGAATAAGCGAGCAGAATTGTGTCGCTGTCGCGGCAAAAAAATGGAAATTCCAGTCACATAAAATACGACATACGGGTATAAAGAACTTGGAGGACTTGAATTACAAAGCTAGATCCGGCTGTGTTGCATGAAGTCGGAACATGGATATAGCGAATCTGACAAACGCATCTGAAAGGACCAATGGAAGGTATCATTGATACATTTCAACGCGCGCTTTTTTTTTTTATCTAATAAAAGTACATAGTAAAAAAATATCTGCATTAATTTCGATTTTTCATTCTATGTACTGTGGCATTAATAATATATAGGATGCTCTCATAATGAATTTGTACTGCAATTTCGCCATTCGAGATACACTCGCAATCGTAATCACAAATGCAGCATTTTATCTGTTTATTTATTTAGTCACAAATTGAATTGAACGATTCCAATCTTGCGAGAGACAATGCTGAAAGTATGGAATAACAATAGCTTTTTTCCCTATAACGTAACATATTTCTCTATAACATATTTTTACTGATCCCACTTTCAACATTTATTCTCCTACAAAGTCTAGCAACAGTTTCTCGGTCATCCTATATTTTACGTCCATTAAAAATTGTGCTTTTTCGCAACGAATGTTTGTTATAACGTTTAATGCGTCTCATATATAATAATAAGAACTTTATTCAGGATACCGACATTGTTTGCCAGCACGCCTGTTTACATTTAATTCCATTTCGACACGATACTCTGTAATCATGCTCGCGATAATCTCGAAGCTACCCACGCCGATATTAACTTCGTCTCTAAACGATATTTGCTCGTTTTATCGCGTTGCACGCGATGCGCGTGGTGTGCATCTAGTAGAATCGGCGCAATCACGTCGGCATTACGCGGCTGCATTATCGTCGTCCTGCGGCGTCACATTTACGCTCCTCGTTTCCTCCTCAATGCGTTTGCGTTCTTTGAGGCGATACAACAATGTACACCGGACGCATATTGCATGCCGCTCCAACGTCTCTTGCTCCCAAGCATCGCGACAGAGTCTGGCTTACGATTTATTAGATGTATAATTACCAGGCACGTATATATCCCCTATGTTCTGAATTTATGTCGTCCTTAAGGATCAGTTCCAACGAGAACTACGCTTAATTAACACATAGGTCGTTTAGATATTGAAATACATAAATTTTAAAGGAATATTTAATTGGCTACTTTTACCAAATTTTTCTACACAAAAAATCTTTATATTTACATTAAATTTTTTCATTTTGTACTGTTACTTCTTGAATTCTTTATGATTGATGATACTTGAGTAGGGTAATTCTGTGATATAATATTTTGAAGAAAAATTATAAATAACCACTATGTATAAATAAGGTAATTTTTATAAAGATGAGTATCACTTAGATTTTATCATATATAAATTAATAATTATAATTTCACTTGACTTCTACATTTTAATTTGGTATAATATCTAGGCTTTTTCGAGAAGCGCGTACTTTTAGCGTTTTTAAATTTTTTTTTTAATAAGTTTGTAGTATTACTTTTTGTACAATAATTACAAATGTGAGAGACTGAAAATAAGTAAAAAAAAATAAAATAGTCAAAAAGAGCCTACGTGGTTGATACGCAATATATTTAGTAGTAAAAGATATTTATTAGTAAGATATTACATATGCAAACCACAATTATACAATACATGCAAAAATGCAAACGTTTCGATCATAAGTTTTAGTTCTCTTTACTATACAAAGAAAAACGCAAAGAAATCCTAATCAAAAACGATAATTGCAAACGTTGGTATAATTTAAAATATTCGTGATTGAACGTAAATTAAATTAATCGGTCGCTGATGAAGTAGATTGATCCATACATACAAATTATAGTCGCTGAAGTAAGACATTATACATATTAATTAAATCAAAATTATAATGAGCTTTTCGGCGTTTTTATATTTTTTATTTTCTCAACAATTCGTCAATTATATTAAATTATGATAATTTCTCAGATAGAGTTAATAGGTACGAGGTTAGCATTAATCTAGATTGACACAAATGACTCTAAGAAACAACAAAGGTTTATTTATAGCAAGGTAGTTGCTCGTTTATTCTTATTTCCAGCTCGTAATAGCAATTCATCGACGGAATTTCGCGACAAGCGACATTTTTCCTCGATGCTGCAAACGAAAAGTTATATATATTCAATACGACACGATTCGTTCACCACGACAAGGAATGTTGCGCAACGAACGATGGTTTTTCCAGGTGAAGCCTGATTCGGAATTGGTGTTCGAGCAGCACGGACTATACTTGACGATATCGAGTCTACTGCTCGAGCTGGAGCCGGGTCATCTCGCCAGCGACAAGATAAACGTCAGGTAATTTCGGTGTTTACAACGTACCGTATATTTCCGTCGTTCGACAGAGCCGTTGCCTATGGCACCTCGGCGCATACTCCTCATAAATATACATCGCGAGCTCGCTCGCGAATAGGATAGTTCGTTTTACGGCTTAAGCGAGTTTTGCGCGATAGAACACGATAATTTATCCTTCCGTCTGATCGGCCACCAACGATCCGACTTCGAAGAATGATCGAATATCTTGTTGCAGGTGCGAGGCGACGGTGCGAACGACCCACGAAGTCCACGATCCGTTTGTCGATATTCGCGACACCGAGGTCTTTGGTAAGCCCACGTGACACAATACGATCGATATAGAATCGGCGAATAAGTCGCGATCGAAACTCGAGATCACGTGGACGAAATAATGACATCGTTATTATAGGTGCTCGAGCCTGAATCTGATTATTTCAATCAATCTTCAGTTAAACAGATTAAACGCGCGAACGAAAAGAAAGATTTGAAATTAGCGTTTGATTAATGAATAATTTTCCCTCTTGTTAAACTCATTTTAGATGATACAATACGAAATAATATCAGAAATAGAATCGTATGTGTATTATAATTTGATATACCATAAACATATGATAATGCATAAACGTAATAAACACTTACAGAATCAAAATTATATCTACAAACAAAGTTAACGTTGGTGTTTAAATTTTCTGTTTTATGTTTACATATATACTATTTTACTAAACGTAAAGTGTATGCGACATACATGTAGTAAACTGACAAATTTAATAATCATAATTCAAAAATTTTAATTACATATATAATTTAATCAGCTATGTCTGAGAATAAATTATATGCTTGCAATATGAGAACAAAATTATTTACATTTACAGTATATCTTTATCAAATTACTGTATACAAATGCATATGATTAAATAATAAAACCATCAGAAAATGCGAACATACGAAAAAGAGAAAAGTGAGAAAACTAGTACGAATAAAATTTAATATTCGTTTGTATAACGTAATAATATATTATATGCATGATATATCATACATGTTCTCTCTTACAACTCTCTTACAATTTAAATACACTTGGCACGAAATGTGTTAAATGTTATGATTTTGAATTCCTAATTTGAATAATGTAATATTCTACACGAAAAAATTTTGTTAAAGTGTTTAAAAGTTCGGCTAAAGTTTTATTTTAGCAAAATCGTTCTTTTTTAAAGTTTTTAATTTGTGATATATAATATTGAAGATTATTTTAATTAGTCGAGACGAAGTTTTATTCATAATTTAAATACAATATTTCAAGATATAAGAGGTAATTATATATAAAGAATACGTAAATTACATATAAAGAATGTATATAATTTATTCTTTACATATAATTACTTTACATCTTGAAATATTGTATTTAAATTATGAATAAAACTCAGTCTCGACTAATTAAAATAATCTTCAATAATTATATATCACAAATAAAAACGTTGAAAAAGAACGGTTTTGCTAAAATAAAATTTTAGCCGAACTTTTAAACACTTCAGCAAAATTCTTTCGCGTAGAATATCACATCGTTCAAATTAGAAATTCGTAATTATAATATTTAACACATTTCGTGCCAAGTGCAGTAACGGAGGTAGGTAAATGAAGTTATATTCTGGTGAAGGGTGTTTGTGCTTGCAACAACTTCGGTTATCGATATACCGTACATTTCTTTCGAGGTTACCACTCGAGGAAATGTACACCCTTTATTATTTCCTGGCATGCGAAATTAGCATGGGACCCGCGTTACAGCAGGGCCCAACTAATCGACCGACTCGGTTCCCGCGGGGAGTAAGGGTGTTGCGGAGAAATTAAGACAATAATTTACAACCGTTACCACCTGCCCTCGCAACACGCTCTCACCCAGCTACACCTGCAGTTACTTTATCCTTTCTCCTTTGCCATACCCCACCGGATTCGCTCGCGACCGTGCATTCATTATCGTCTAATTTCTACTTAAATTAGTTTTGACCACTTTTCACTTTCCTCTCTCCTTGTTTATCTTAATTCTTTTATCTTTCATATCCAGGGTAGAAACAATCGATAGGCATATTATACCTATGTTTGTAATACGGGCAAAATTACAGTGGTGCGAAAGCATCTCGTTTCCCTGGCATAGAGTGTCGCCGATGGGGAAAATCGTATGAACGAACCAGGGATGAAAAGGGTGAGGGAGAATATGTGATTCATCAGATCGTACACAGTGGTGTGTCTGTATGCATTCCTGTTCCCGACCAACAACGCTCCCGGCAACGCTCGGAGCAACGGCGATTAAATATTTATCAACTAATCCCTCGCGTCACGCAATTCGAGTTACGATAAGAAATTCACGATTTGCGCGCGGCGTTACAGCGCGCAAATACGCGCGCACACGCTCGCGGACACTGGACGTATGCCGATATACATATATCACGAGAGTTTTACCGCAATAGTATTTTTCGGCTCGCCCGATGGACCATAAATCGACTTTTCGCGAGAGCACTCGTTTACACGCGACGCGGCGGCAATATTTCGTGGCGATGTAAGCAGACTATTTTTCGTGGGAACGCGCAGACACTCGCAGTTGACTAGTCGTTGAAATCGCAACATCCGAGAGAGAGAGAGAGAGAGAGAAATACGTGCACGCGGATCACTCTAGCCTGCAGCGCCGTGCTCTCGATTCGGGTCAATTTTAACCAGAATGAGCCGCCGCGCCACAACCGATCAGCCAGCGATTCACACTGTTTCGAACGCATATCTCTCTTTTATTAGGGCCACAAAGGTAATCAACGATTTACCACATTTGTATACGATTGTATTTGCCGCTCGAAAAATACGTCAAAAAATATACCAACAGTGAAACACCTGCCGCGGAATATATTTTTTGTTTCGTAATTTAAAGGGTGTTGTTACGTGTCGCGCTCTCAATTTTTGTAAATTATGGCCGCTGGAATATCGGCGTTAAGATATCGGAAATGGTTATAGATGACGCAAATTGAGAACAGAGTATTGTTTTAAAGAGTAATCGATAATTTATCGCATCGCGATGCAATTGACCAGCGATAAAGAAGATAGTACATTGAAAAGTACATTTCTTTCAATAAAGAAACAGAAATAGTACACATGAGTCACATAAAGTTATTTCGCGTGTATTACACGGGAAAACCCATTTCGCTGAAGTATCTTAAAAGTTCGCTAGATACAGATGTGAAAATAACTTTGTTCAGCTACCAAAATGTCATGTATAGCGTTAAATATTAAAGGATTAAATTAATTTCTTAAATTAAATTTTGTCACTCTTTTAACTTGCAAGTGTGTAAAAGTGTATAATTACAAAATATATGTGATTAGAAAAACCATTTAATCAATCTATTTCTGTGATTAAATCGCTCAGTTTCAATGAAGCAGGGTTCATATTAATTTATATGTACTTAGTAAATAATAAATTACATTTGAATTAAACTTATGTGATACATTTCTTGAATAAATTGTTTAACTCCATTGTTTTAGTGAAATGAACAATACATTGAGTAAAAGTAGTGGTGATATGAATAGAAATGATTAAAAATTAAATCACATTGGATATAATTTGACATTTTAAATTAAAAAGTATATAAAAGCTCAAACGTAACGTGCAAATCTCGAATCAATTTTAACAATCAGCTTGAGCGTCCTATATAATTATTTTGATAGTCCAATAAAGTTATTTTCAGGTCTGTTTTTAACTAAATTTATAGATACTTTAACAGAACCGTTCTTTTCATGTGCGCCAGAGTGATAAAATCTCTTCCAACAATACGAGCAGTAATTGCATTCCGATAAGAAAGTAAACGTTTTCGATTCAACGACGAGATTTTTGAGAATGCATCGCGAGGCCGTGACGACCGTAACGACTCATGCATTACGAATGCGCAATGAGAATGATCAAATGTGCGTTAGCTGCATGCCGTCGCGTCACGCCGCGCAATACAAATCCCGCGGGCGGGCGGAAGGAATTACAATGCATATAATACGCGGCATTTGACTAGCTCCGCGTATAACTACGCTATTGTAAATCGACAAACATTTCGGCGCATACAAACGCGGCTTAGTCATCGGGATATTTTGCCGTTGTGCCGCGCGGTGGCAATGCGTCTGGAAATATTCGAGTCATAAGTCGTGCCAATTCCCACATTGTTATTTAACGCGAGACACGTTCCGCGCAAAATTTCTATGGAAATGATATAACTTTGATCTGTTTAATTTTATAAAATTACAAGATCAATGTATGAGTACTCTCTAAAGGTGAATCAGCAGTGTATTATCACTGGCTTCGGTGCTACACTTGTAACTATAATATTAGCGAATATTTACTGTTTTTTTCAGTCATAATACACTCATTTATTTTAAGAAATTATGATTCATAACCTCTAAAAGTGAATCAGTACATTATTACTGAAAAAAACAGTAAATATTCACTAATGACTACATCGGTTATAAGTGTAGCGCTGAAGTCAATGATAATACACTGATTCACTTTTAGAGGGTAAGTTTTCGCGAACTTGAAGAAAATGAAAATATTTCTTCTTCTAATCCACATGTGAATTGTATCATGTATTTACTTACATAAATAATAGCGATCGATGATAATCTTTATAACATTGTTGTTATAATCATATTTATTATTTACCGCAAACATTACCGAGAATACCCATTAACGAAACATGAAGAGGAGATGCGTGCTTTTATCGCTAGATAACCCAAAGGTACTCGGCCTAATTGCATAAGTGGGCCTCCGAATATCGATCGGGCGAGCCGAGCGTTGCACGACACGGGGTAAAAGGGTAAAAGAAATAAACGAAGGAGCAACGCGAGGAAGAATCTTCCACGCGAGAGTAAGAGGGAAAGAGGATGAGAGAGAGAGAGAGAGTGCCGATCGACGGAGTCAGGTTGAACAACGCAAGGTAGGAAGGAGAGGACAAGTAAAAAGAGGCAAGGCAAACCGGAAAAGACGTCGAACGACTCGAAGAAATTGCTCTTAACGATCTTCGATTTTCTCGTTAGACGGAATCGTTCTTGGAAGCGCTCTACGCGACGGCCAGCGTCGCTACGCCTCCTGCATTTACCGCCGAGCTGGCTACCTATAGCTCCAACCTCCGCCAACTATCAGTTTTCTTTCTATCAGCGACCACCTTTCGTCTCTTCGTGTCACTCCTCCTACCTCGTCCTCATCCCCTTCTTCGCGCAACCTCTCAAATTATCCTTCCGCACCCCCTTTCCTTATTACTCCTTTAACCCAGTCACGGCTTAACTCGGTCACGACGTCGTCGATCCTATACCAAAAGGCATTCCGTTCGGCCGGCTTTAATCCATTTTAATCGGACGGGATGAGTTAATTTTAAAATGTCCTAGTGTAATTTTACTCCTGCATATTTTGTTATGTAATTATATACATATTTGTACTCTGTCGAGTAAAATTAAACCACGAACATTTATTATGCGCAAAACCCATATATCTGTCGTTACTAATTTACGATAAAACGAATGGATAAACTGTCACGAAATGTAATTTATCTAAAAAAGTTAAAACATTTTGTTTTAACATACAAATATTTAAACAATTTTTATATATACTTATATATATATATATAT